ATATATATATATATTATAGGAAGAGGTAGCCTCACAAAAAATTAGAAATAGGAAGAGAAGTATTTTTATAATGGGGGAGCTAAGATGAATGAGCTAAGATGTAGCAAAATTCAGTCTTATGACATATAGAAGGGTAAAGTCCCTTCAAATAAAGAGCAAACTTCTAGAAAGGCCATTTGGCTAAGACCAGAAACTGTGAGTCAAAATGTCAGGGACTACAGGAGACATCTGCCCTTGTGTATGATAGCTGAGCTATCCCACCTTTAACCTATAGAAAAAACAAAACCTCTGACTGTCAATTGGTTAATAAGAAATCAAATCTGACCATAAAAGATCGAGAACCGTTACATAACATTTAGAAGTCTGAAAGGCACATGCAACTACCCAGCTCTATGTATCTGTGTGGAATTGGTCCAGATGACTCTGAGATACCCATTCCTCACATACTACAATCCTTTGTAGAAAGTAAGCTAGTACTTACATATAACATTCACATATCTAAACTACTTACAACCTCCCATAAAGTAGAAATGTTAGTAAATATCTGTTATACTGCATGGCTTAAAATATAGTGCCAAGAAAAAAAAAAAAAAAAAGGAACCTTGCATTGTAGATTCATGCCCGTGGTTGCCTGAATGGCACATGTGGAACCCAGAGGGCTGGCTACTTTTCCTTCTGGGTAAAGGATCGCCTCAGTTAGGGTCACTAAAGCAAGACACTTGTTTTTCCATTTTAACCAGCTCTTCCTGTATTCATGTTCCTGGTAATTTGGGGGAAAGTTCACAAACAGGAAAAATTGATTTTCTCTAGGTTAAAGGGTAACAAGTAACTAAGGAAAAGATAACTATCGTAGATGTGGGAAAGTATCTCCTGTATTCCCAAGGAATCATAGAGCTTTAAAGACTCAGGTGACTGAGGAGGACTGCCTGGCAGCACTGGGAAGACCACAGGAGCCATGAAAACACTTTCCCTCTTACACTGCCACGTGGAGTGCATGAAGCCCAAGAAAGAGATATCCCCAAGGGCTGACTGCCCACTTCAGCATCTCTGACTATGAGGCTTATCACCAGTATTTTTATTTTTTAAAACTTTATGTGTATGAATGTATTTCCTGCATGTGTGTAGGTGCACCCGTGTTGTACAACGCCAGCAGAGATCAGAAGAGGTCAATAGTTGTTAGCTGCCATGTGGGTGCTGGGAACCAAACCCAAATCCTCTGGAAAAGCAGTCAGTGCTCTTAATCGCTGAGCCATCTCCCTAGCCCTTATCACCAGTATTTTAAAAAGCAGAAATATAATAAAAGAAAAAATAAAACATGATGAATTAACCTCCAGGAATGAGTTCAGTTTCAGAAAACTCAGTTTTCAGTTACATATGTATGTTCTCCAGTTTGACAACAAACTTTCATAAAGTCCTTTTGGTTAAGACCAGCAACTTGAATCAAAATCTCAGAGAACAAAGGAGATACCTACTCTTGTGTTTGATAGATACCTTTCCCCTAGTTACTTTTCACCCTTTAACCTAGAAGAAATAAAAAAAAACACCTCTGGCTGGTTAATTACAAAGCAAATCTGTTAATGAAGACAGTTATAAACCATTACATAACATTTAGAAATCCAAAAGATACGTGTAATTGTTTCTCAGTATATGTGGGGAATTGGTTCTAAGATTCTCCATGTCTCCCAGAATTCCCAAATCTTCACATGTTCAAGTCCCTAATGTAAAACAGTCTAGTTTTAGATAGAAATTATACATATATGTAGATTACTTATAATATCCTGTAAAATGGAAATGCTTGTTAATAGGGGTTTTTTGTTTGTTTTTTTGTCTTTTTGAGACAGGGTCTCCTTGTAGCCCCAGCTGTCCTGGAACTCACTATGTAGATCAGTGGCCTCTTTTAATTCAAGAAAAAAGGACTGGATATTCATTAGAAACCTATATATCCTGGACAAAGCTATACCTTCTATCCGTAGTTGGTTGAGTGGCAGGTGTGAGCCTTGGGATACAAGGGACTGGCTGCTTTCCTTCTGGATAAAGGATGGTCTGAAAATGAGTTGAAATGAGCTCAATCGGTGCCAGTGAGTATGTACACATGTAACCTCACATGCATGTGTGCATATACATATTTGACCATGAGTTCAAGTGTGCCACACCTTCATAACTGTGAAAAGAACAAGGTAACGTTTCATGAGTGCTGGTCTCAACCCTTTCGCTTCTTTGACCACGGCAGGCCTTTCCCTGGAAAAAGTCCTTTGGAAAAGTTTTTGCTGTTGTTCTTTTGTTGTCATTTAAACAGAACTCATCATATTAAGTTTGTGACCTATAACCAGCATTAAAAAAAAAAGAAACAGAAGTTCAACTAGAACATGTGCAAATATGAAATATGTAAGCACAGGTTTGGTTTCAGGAAATTATATCTTCAGTTCTACGCTATGTACGTATGGATGTATCTTAAATTTTTATGCAGAATGTGAAGTTTTTTTTAACTGGGTGAATTATAGGTGTCTTTTTTTTTTTAAATAGAAAACCATTGTTCTGTGGGAAAAGCCTAATAATCAGCTTTGTCCTACACTCATGAGGAAACTTGGCTTTCATCAGAATGGAGGGACACATGGCTGCCTCCTCCAGCCACCAAGGATTTCAGCTGGTTGCCAGAGGGGTGGAGCAGAATTAGTTAAATAAGTGTATCTTCCTACATAACTTCCTACGTAAACTCAGAAATAAGAAAGGAAGGAAAAAAAATCAAGTTAAAAAAACTCTGGGAAACTGTTAAAGTTGGTGAACAACTTTTTACACAAAATTAAAGTTCAGGTGAAGGTGAAAGGGAAAATGTAGGGTCATATTTGTTGCTGAGGGGAGAAAATCTTGAAGCTGAAGCAGAACCCGAGGGAAGGGGCCTACAGATAGGCACCTACCATGGGCTCTGATAGAAAGAGTGAGGCCTGCCAAGTAGCAAACATGTTTCTCATCTTCATTTTATTTAACCCTTACAGAACTTTTTGAGATAGATACTTACATTTCTCCTGGATGAGGAGGGGCTGAGTAGGTTAATGCCAGAAATATATCAAACTACCAGAAAATATAAGTAATTATGGATATTAAACTGTGGAAAAGTTTTTTCTTCTGGCCTTGTTGTAAATAGTTGCCCAGTTCTGAGCAGAAACCTCAGTGGAGTTCTAGTATCTGGTCATTCTCACCAGTACACAAATATTCCAAAATGGATATGGACTTATTTGTTTTCTTTGTCAAAACTGATATGACAATCACTTCCTGGCATTTTGGCTAAAATCAAGTGCAAAACTGATATAATGAGCATTTTTCTTCCCCCCCGCACCCCCCAGGAATTGTCAATAGCTGAACATACTTTTGTGTTTTCATAAGGCCCCTTCCCAAGGTTTCAAGAGCGATGAGCATTTGGGAGGAGGCCTCTGTTCAATGGAGCTGCCTCCAAGTTGTGCAGGGAGATGCAGAGATGCAGCTTTCCTGAATTATCACTCATCTTGGGGTAGGCTTTTGAGGCATCCGCATGTCTGTAAGTAACCCCAAATAAACTCACTAGTTCAGTAAGCTAGATTTGAGTGGAATCATTTCTTTGGTCTGTCACTGGTATCCTGTCTGGGGGGAATTGTTTACATCTCACCAGGAAAAGTCACACAATATCTGTATATGATGATTTCCACAGTCTGTGGATGGGTGACTCTTTCTAAGGCTAACATAGAATTAGTCTTTATTCAGTAGAGATGTGGAATGAACAAAATAAACGAACTTCAATGTTTTTCAAACAGACAAACCTCTGTTTTAAAAGCAATGCACTAAGTGCATAGGAAGGCATCGCAGGTGAAATAAACGGGAAACAGCAGTTTTTCCACCAAAAAGCCTCTGAGTGGGCTTACTCTGTCATGGATTCTCCGGAGCACTCAGGACCCATGGTTCAGAACGATCAGGAGGGACAATTCAGCATTTCTGGGCCTGAGGCAGCCTCCTTCTCACTCTGTGGGCGTGCTTGGGGACTGCAGTCTCGGTGCTAGGCAGGGGCAGCCTTCACTAAAAGTGGAGGGGGGGGACCGGGCAGGATCCAGGTCCCGCCCTGTACTGTCAGGACTTCTGTAACCTAAAGCTCTGCTGAGAAGCCAAAGTCGCTAGTCAAAAGAAGGGTTCGCCAAGAAGTGGACATAGACGGACCCAGCTCCGTCAGTCTCGCCTCGGTAATGAACAGAGCTGCCCACATGAGCGGTCCAGACGTGTGCCAGCTGTTCACCAGTCCGGTCCTGCCCAGAGGGAAGCATAGACGGACCCAGCTCCGTCAGTCTCGCCTCGGCAATGAACAGAGCTGCCCACATGAACGGTCCAGACGTGTGCCAGCTGTTCACCAGTCCGGTCCTGCCCAGAGGGAACCGAGCTGTAGACCCGCAGACCCGCCGCATCCTCCTGTCCCCGGGCTGCGGGGGTGCGTTACCTGAGCGCATTGACCGGCGGGTTTCGGAGCCGGATCATCGCCACCGAGTGCGGCAGTCTCAAGTACTCAGCCATTTCTGTCGCCAAGGTTGCCTCTGCCTGTGCCTCCCGTCAGTAGCAGGGCCACTTTTCCGAGTGGCATCCGGGCGCCCGGAGGGGAGGGACACGCGCTGGGCGGAAGAGAGCTGGTGCCGCCTCCTGCGCCCTTTGCACCCGTGTGCTCCGCGGACCTTGTGAGTGCAGGCTTGCAGAGAGGAAAGCCAAAGGCAAGCGCAGTGGAGCTGCTCATGCTTCTCACTGGCGAGAGGATGCTCTAAACGAAAAGTTCACAAAACGGTCACCTGGTGGTCTGCCAGTCCTTCTGTTCTGTCCCTCCTTAGTGGCTGGGATTTCTCATAGTCCCTTCACAAGCTAAGCACCTATTGTGTGTTGGACCTAGACTGGAGACTAAAGATAAAACTGTGCCTAGTTCCTTCCCTCTAAATGCTCAGCTGGAAGACTGTCCTAAGGGCTCATGGCTTCTTGTGGTTGTCAAAGCACCTGATCAGGACAGTGTACAACTTGGGAAGAAAAAACACACATGCAAATCTTCACTGTTTCATAAGTTCTAAAAAAATCTAAAGTTATTTTCAGATATATTCTTTACTCTTGAAATTAAGAAAGTTTCCCACTACTAGTCAAGCACTGAATGTGCTGAAGGCCAGACAACGGGCAGCAGTCAGAGCCCAGCAAGGATGCCCATCTTCATAATAAGAACCAAAGTGTCAAGGACAGTCAATCCCCAGCAACCCAATGGACATGCCTCCAGGTACCAGCAACCAACAGCAGCCATGGGAGGAAACAACTACTGACAGGTGACAGGACACTGTCTGAAAATGCCAATTCCTGAACTCCATCTAGCCTCCAAGCTCTCAGAGACCAGCAATTTGTTCTCTGTGTTCGCAGCAACTCTGCATGGTCAGTCTATGTCTCCGTTCCTGTAGGAAGCAATAACTTCAACTTTTTCTCCCTTCAGATATTGGTGTTTAGAAGAAACTCTGCCACGGCCTCCTAGCAACTTGAACAGGGTGAGGGGATAAGCGTTAACAGCATTGAGTGGCCTTATATTCCCCTTTGAGCAGGGGGACATAATGCCCACATGTGCTGGATGGCTTCTGTTGTCAACTTGACATACCTAGGTAGAGGGATCCTCCATTGGATTGGCCTGCGGTCATATCTGTGGGACACTTTCTTGGTTGTTGAGTGATGTGGGAGGGCCCAGACCACTGTGGGCACTGCCACCCCGGGGTAGGTGGTCCTGTGTTGTAGAAGAAAGTGAGCCAAACATGGGCCAGAGGACCAAGCCAATAAGCAGTGTTCCTCCTTGGTCTGTGCTTCAGCTCCTGCCTCCAGGTTCCTGCCCCGAGTTCCTGCCTTGGTTTTCTCCGCTGCGAGCTGTAAGTCAATTACACTTTCCTCCTCCAAATTCGTTTTTGTCAGTAGTTTTTGTTGTTGTTTGGTTTATTATTACTATTATTATTATTATTATTATTATTATTATTATCATATAGCAATAGAAAGTACCTAGAACAGCACAGTCTGGAACTATACTGATGCACTGTCTCATGTCCATTGTTGTGGGGTCAGTCACTGTCCATTGCATCTCCATATTTTCAGTTGAACACAGACCTTTCTGCCGTGTCTCCCATCTTAGGTTACTGGTACAAACTTCTGTGTAGATCTATAAAGCTGATTGGCTGCTGTTACAGCTGGCTCCTCAAGAGGGGCAGGACTAAGGTGAGGCAAGTGAATCATGGAGGGGACAAAGTTTAAAGGGTAGTTACATGCAGTCACCCAGTGCTGACCTTGCCTGTTTTCCAACAACAGTCATCCAGCATTCCTGACATCAGTTGGTCTCTCTGTTAAAGGTCATGGAATGAGACAAGGACTAAGGCCAGTTGATAACATATGATATTCCTTTTGCTGACAGTACATAACTGTCTACACGTATGTAGGCTTCATAAACTTGCTGAGTCTATGGAAGTGTGAGAAGCCAGTTAAGCAGGCTCTGACACGCCACTGTTTACAGGCTGTCTTTTGATCATGGCGTGAACTGCCACGTCCTTATATTGTCTTTTCATTTGCCTCAGGAAGTGCTACTTTAAAAGATACCATCCCTCTTGGTAAGGCGGTCCACATTATTCGCTTGTTACTGCTTTTGCTTAAGTAACTATTTTCACTGTAGCAATTGTGCTGCCTTGCACCCCCATTTTACAAAGGTAGGTCCAGGTCCATCAAAGCCTCAAATAAATGGAATGTGAGCACTGTAACTTAATAGAGTGCCCAAATGGTAAATGGTGAACTCGATTTCAATGCAAATACTGAACTACCTGCTGGACCATGCCAGCCCAAACCTGTATGAAGAACAGGAATGGCTGTGGAAACCTGGCTTGTCTGTTAGCCCTGGAACCTAGTATGTTGTGTGTGAAACTGCATTCCAGAGTGAAGTCATCAAAGGTTAGTTCTCTGCTAAATCAATTAAGTGTTTCTGGGAAAAAAATATATCTTATTACCTGTGTGATAAAATCTCTGCTATCTTCTACATCATTTTTCCCATTTCATCTAGGCTATAGATGGACACAAAGCCTAGGGGACGCAGAGCCCCAAGCAAAAGAAGCCTGACTTCCCAAAGAGTTGTGGAGGGAGGAGGGCTGTTCCATGATGGGAAGCAGGAATAAAATAGAAAGTTGGATCTGTGATAAAGAAGTTTTTGTGCCTTAAGACAGGGAGGAAAGGAGCAATGAGTTCACTCTTTTGCAGGTAAGTTGCCTGATATCTGAGAAGAAAAGCTGCTTATGTAGGGTTGTGTTTGAAATGAGAGATAGTATTTGAAAATAAAGATAATCTACATAACAATAATATCAGTAATGACCATTTACATAACTTCAAGTGGCTGATGGAAATGATAACTGCCTTAGAGATTGTTTTGAGTGTGTGCATTTAGTGCTTATGACATAGATAAGACGTCACATACATAACTGAGATTCAGCTATGGCCAAAAGCAACTATGTGACTTGGTTAGCTTCAACTGTCAACTTGACACAGCCTCAAGCCATCTGAGAGGAAAGCTTGGATTTCAAAATTGTCTAGACAGATAGGCCTGTGGACACATCTGTGGGGGGTTGCCTTGATTACTAACTGATGTTAGAGGGCTCAATCCTCTGTGGGCAGTACCATTCCCTAGGTAGGTGGTCCTGGGCTCTATAAGAAAGCTAGCCTAGCATAAGCTTGTGAGCAGCTAGTAAGTAGTATTCTCCATGGCTCCTGCCATACTTCTTTGGCTATGAAGTGATTGCCTTGGTCAGAGGTGAGGCTGTGTAGAGTATCAAGTGGGCCTGTCTTCAAGTCCCTGCCTGGAGTCTTCCTCAATGATTAACTATAACATGGGATTGTAAGCCAAATAGACCCTTTCCTCCTCAAGTTGGTTTTGGTCAATATGTTTTAGCACTGTGACAGAAAGGAAACTAGAACTAGATAAAGCAAGTCAGAGATCAATAGTGCATTGTTGAGCATATTTAATGACCACAACCATACACTCAATGTGTTTGTCAGCTTTCTGTTTCTCTGATAAACACCTATGATAATCAACTTTAAAAGAGGAAAGCTTTATTTTGGCTCATGGTTTTGAAGGTTTCTGTCCATGGATGCTGACCTCTGTTTCTGGACTTGTGGTCAGGCAGCACATCTGCTCACTTCATAGTGGCTGGGAAGGGAAAGAAAACAGCTCTCATCATCTACTTTGAGGACATGCCCCCCCCACAACAACCTAACAACTGTCACTAGGCTCCACACAGTGTGACATAGCTGTGGACTAAACCTTTAACACCTGCACTTGCAGGTACATTTCAGACCAAACTATAGCATTGCGGCCATATCTACACTGAATGCAGTCAGAGAGTGAACTGGACATGTGTTATTCATGGCTACCCCATGTTTCACAGTCTCAGATTTTTTATAAGCTCGGCTTATCATTTTAAGTTTATAGGTAGCTTTTCCTGGTCTGTGCCCTCCCTGACACATTTTTAGTCATGGGAGAAATATCCCTTCTGCACGGTACAAGCAGCTTTGGTGGCATCTCTGGCATTTCACGAACAAAGTGCCATTAGGTTATGGTTCTCAGATCTCTCTAAATTTCTCACCATGTAATTTATTGGAAAGATAATATTTCATTTTCTAATGATCATTTCTTGCATCTTTTCTGACTACTGACACAATTTAGAAATTGGCTATAGAGATGTCATTTTGAGAGGTGCCCTGAGTGTATTAAGTGGAAGAAGATACTACTGAAGGAAAGCACAAGAGGCTGTGGCTATGGGTCCTGGATGATGTCATGGGGTTTCTGGAGCAACCAGCTCTTATGCCTGTCATAAAATTCTGGTTACAGAATTCAATATATCCCTCTACTGTTTAGAACAATCTGAGTTGCATTTATTAAATAAGTTGTAAAAATGTGCTTCCTAGACACATATTCTTTCTTTCTCTCCTTCTCCCCCTCCCTCTGCCCTCCCTTCTCATCAGGATCTTACTTACTTTGTAGCCCAGACTGGCTCCTAACTCACATCAATTCCTGTGTCTCAGCCTCCCAAGTGCTGGGATTATAGGCATGAGCCGTCCCACCCAGCCCAGATTACCTTTCATGGAATTACTTGTTGCTCAACTGCAGCAGCTCCCGTCAGCTTCTTCAGTGTTCCAGAGCCGCAGAGGGCCACCTTGCTAGAAATCATATCCTCTGGGGGCAGGCTGCAACCAGTACCATGGATTGGCCACTTCAGCTTAACAGAGGTGCAGTCACATAGGCAGTATTTACTGTAAAGCTCTCTCCCAGGATGCCTGAGGATTCTTTAGACTCAACAGCATCCTCCTTTGAATAATATTTTGCCCTTCAAATTCTTAATAAAATCTTTCTCCCAATCTCCAAACCATTGTCTACTGGAAAACTCAATCTGTGACAAGTTTTCTGTCAGGCAAAAGCATCCCAAAATTCTTTGGGATAGTTTAAACTCAGTCTCTTGTTGAAAGGAAGAAAAAACTCAGTTGTCACTAATGATCTTTCTCATTTTAACTTTGTATTATGGAAATGTTCAAGCATGCACCAAAAATAAGAATATAATGAAACAATAACAGTGGCAGAGACTCCTGGCCCCACCCATCCCGCCTTTATCCTGACCCTAACTCTCCTCTGGGATCCACCCCAGAGGACCCACAACTCATGGTGGTTGGCAGGGTGCCATGGACACCTTCATCCACGTCACCAACTCAAGCCAGGACCAGAACTGACTTTTCAGAGCCATTCAACATGCATGCATGTTGCTTAGACGTGTGTTAGAGTCTCAAGGTGGTACAGAGGAGGTGGTAATGAAGCTCAAGAAACTGGCAGAGAGTGTGAGCGCTGGCTGTAAATGGTTCAGACTAGGCAACGTGGTCTATGCCACCCAAGCAACTGAACAGAACATCCAAGTCACTGACCTATGCCCCGCTTATGCCTAACATTAGCCAACCTGAACCATGTGGTTTATTACATCTATGGTGATGTTGACTTCTGGAATCAGCAGAGAGAAATGGCAAATGTGGGCTGCCTACCACTACAACTATTTTCTCCTGCTGAGCCTGGTCAGTGATCGGTGTGAGATCTCCCTGAAAATTGGTTGTGCATGACAGGGCCAAGAGAAAGCATCCCAAGAGCCTCTTGGTTACAGTGTGGTTGAGGAAGAAACAGAATGGCTCTAATCCTTTCTCTTGTTCTGATGTCTTCCATGGCATCCTCCTTGGCTCCTAGAAACAATGAACTTCTGTGACATCCTGATCCCTTTGAACCAGCTCATGATCTGTAAGTTCAATCCTAGTATGTTAAATCAGAGGTTTCATGTCCTCTGTGGTCAGCCTCAGCACTGTGGTATATCCTTACATGAAACTGAAGACCTGCTAAGATGTTTGGAGGCTTTAAATGCCCTTCTGTGATGTGCTGAGAAACTAAAATTCAGACTAGGATTCTTAGGCTTATGCCAGGAGTGTCTTACTGCCCTCTTGAGAAGCTTTTATTTAGGAAGCTTAAAGTTGGAGGTTCACACAGAATTTACATATGATAGATTTACCCACAGGATGTCTGGGAGGGACGGCAAAGCAGACAGGGCCAACGAAGAGGTCTGGGGACTCTGAGTCAGTGGCATCTCCTGGTGCTCCTTCTCATCTTGGGGCTCTTATATTGAGCTTCATTAGTTTGAGGAGTGTAAAGTGGGGAGACAGAGACAGCAAGTTGACCAGTGTCAGCACTCCAATAAAGCCACGTCATTTAAATGGAAACGAGAAATATGCACAGAATAGCTGCTTCCCATAAATGTTCCCGAGATTCTTGAAAAGGTGATTTGGATCTTTAGTGCTCTGTTTTTAAAGGAAATGATCAATAAGTGATTTGAGGGAAAAAAAAGAAACAGTAATATATGACCATTTCTTATCATTTGTTACCTCCTATGCTCTTTTACAGAAAGTTCTAGGAATGGATATTAGTCCATTCTTAACACTACAGTGTTGGATCTGCTAAAGGCAGTGTAACGGTGTAATGGTGCTGGGCAAGGTGGATCACACCTATAATCTAAGTGCTTAGGAGGCTGAGATGGGAGGATCATTGTGAGTTTGCGGCCAGCCTGGACTACATAACAAATTCAAGGCCAGTCGTGGCTACATAGAGAGACCATGTCTCAAAACAAACAAGCAAAAGAACAAATAAACAAAGGCAATGAATGACTTTTTTCTTCATTTTCCTATGAACTGTCTATGGTCTCATCTATTCATTCTTTTTCTATCACCATACTTTAAAAAATATATTTCAATAGGAAAAGGGGTAGGGATACTAGAGGTGGATAAAAGAGCCCAGAACTATTCCTAGAATTCATTCATTCTTTTACTCATTCAACAAACATTTAAGACCTATCATCTCCCAAAGTCTTAGGGCACTGAAATATCATCAGTATAGGTGGTTTGCCCTGTAGGGGGTGCAATGATATCTTTGGTCAGATTAACCAGGAGAGACAGAGGAAGGGGACAAGGGGAAGGGATGGTAGACAGGGACACAGACTGGCTTTACCTCCTACCATCTAGTGGTCACCCCTAATACACAGTGGTAAATTTTACTCATTTTTCCCTTGATACACAGAACACTAAAAAGTTTATCCAAGAAAGACTTTAAAGAGGAAACTACGGCTTAGAGAGGCAAAGTAATTTGTTTATGGGCATATGGCTGTTAATAGAGACTTATTTTGAGTAACTGAATCATGTAATTATAGAGGCTAGCCACCCTGAAATTTGCAGGGCAGACCAGCAGATTGGAGATATATGAGCGTTCATCCTGAATCTCAAGTTCAGAGGCAACTGCAGGTAGAATTTCCATTTCCTCAGGATCCCTACTCCATCCTTCATTCTCATAAGGCCTTCAGCCACTTGGACAAGCTCCACCCACATTGTAGAGCATCTTCTATTTTGTTCAAAATCATTGATTGAAATGTTATTCCCATGTAAAAATAATTTTACTGAATTATCTAGAATAATATTTCACACACACACGCGCGCACACGCACACAAACTAGGTACTACAACTTAGACAAGTTGACACAGAAAACCAACCATCACAGGAAACAGAGAACGAAACTTGGTTACACACTTAGAACTCTATGAGCTAGTGCTTCTTTGTTATCCCAAGAGGGCAAATGGTACCATGGATAAAGCTTAAGTGTTGACTATTGGATAGGAATGTACTTTGGGAATTGTAACATCTTCAAGCCCAAATGTCTTCATTAAAATAAAGACATAAAAAAAAAAAAACCACTGTTACCAGAGCTTTAGTCCAAAAGGCCTGGCTTCTAGAGTCTGTATAGACTAGGCTTGGCCACTCATCCCAAAGTGCCAATCAAAGAAATGAGCAGTGGTAAAGGTAGGAAAAGGGAAACGTAATGGTTGTGGCCATGTTGGGAAGAACAGGTAATGGGTTCAATGACTGCAAGTCTGTTTTCAAGGGGCTAAGGGGAGAGATGCAACTTTACACAAAAGAGATAGAAAAGGAGGTGGGGGCTGCGTAGCTGACAGGACAGGGCCACAATGGCAGGGCCAATCATTGATCATTATCTGGGGTCTGATTCTTAAAGAGGTTCTAGAAAAGTTGTTATTGTTCTTATCACTTATGGGGGCAATGTAGTTCCCATAAGATGAGCATTCCTGCTTTGGGGTAGAGCCTTATCACCATAGATAATTACAGTCATTGTTGGATTGGAGGTTGATCTGTCCTGTTGTTTGGGGGTAGTTTCAGTCCCTGGTCAAAGATGTTAACAAATCAGCCCTATTTTTCCTGGACTCCAAGGTAACTATAGAAAAAAGTGACTAGAAAGAAAAAAGTTGAAGAGCAAAATAAAGACCCAGAGAGGAAGCTCATGAAGTTAAGGGCGCGAAAGATGCCCTATTCGGCACAAAGGCGTGTGGCTCACCGTCTCTGGGTCTCTTGTAGCTGACTTTTAGACCTGTGTAGTTACGATTGCTTGAAACTTTAAAGGGTCTGGTCTGAGTAATTTAAAGTTTGATGAAAATATGATCAGTCGGTATATTTTATTCATCTTTGTAGCTCTGTCTCCTGTGTCTCCTGAATGAATGAACAAATGAATGGTATTAAAGAGACTAAGATTCTAGAACTGTCACTGATTAAATTTGTGACTTGTGGCAAATTACTGAAGTCTTAGTCCAGAAATGCATTATAAATATCAGTGGCCTAATCCAGGCATGGTTGCATGTGCCCAAAAAAGCAGTACTAGGGAGGTTCAGGTAGGCAGTTCATGTTCAAGGTACGTAGTACTAACCTGAGGTACATAGCAATACCCTGTCAGAAGACAACAATGATCAATGACCTGATAACAAATAACATTGGAAAAAACCTTCAAATTTCACCTATTCCAAACTCTTATTTTATTTTATGGGTCTGTGGGGGTTACTAGATATTTAGAACACAGGCCTAGCACCCGTATTTCGACACTACTACTTAATGTTATCTTTGTCATAATTTCTAAAGTAAAGGTTGAGAAATTTAACTACAGGAGACTAAATGAAATCGTGCCTGTTAGCGGCAGTACATTCAGAGTCCATTTTTACCTACTCAAAGTGCTTAGGTCAGTCATTTGTTCCTATTCAGCCAGTTCAAAATGACGACAAAGCACATCTCATTTCTGGGTAAATAAGAGATTTGCCTGGATTCATTGCCCTCCTCTCCCTTTCCCGGATCGTTGATGAGAATCTCCACCTTCCCTGGCAAATCTAGAGTTTTATTCCGCTTTCCTCAGTAGTAAGCACAGTAATTTAGCAGGCTGCTCTCAACTAGGGTTAAAGTTGGTTTTGACTAAGATATATCTAGTTCCAAAAGGGAAAGTACCCAGACAATGAACGGCTGAACAAATAGTGTTCCGGCTTCTCATCCACTTATATTTTCCAGTGGGGAAGTACGAATAGGTAAAGGATAACAGTTAATGCTCATTAAGTGCTCGCAAAATGCTGGAACTTTCTATTATCTCAAGTAATACAACAATCCTAGGTTTAAGGTACTAGAATTATTTATTCATACTTGAACCAGGCACAGAGAGGTTAAGTAACTTGCCCTCGTAATACCATTAGCCATGAAAGGGGCCGCACTGGAATCAGTGTCAAAGTCCGCACTATTCTGGGCAGGGAAATCTGAAAAACCTTAACAGACTTGTGATTTTTTTTCAGAGACAGAGCTAATCTGGACAAGGGTGCTGAATTTAAGCAGGGGAATATGCAGAAAAAAGAAGTCTGAGGAAGCTCGCCAAGAAGTTGGGAAGGAAAAGCACTTTTCCAGGGTGGGTGAGTCGCAGGGCTCGAGACAGGGCAGGTTGGCTTAACAATCACCCCACAAACAAGACTTGGAAGCCAAGGAGGCCCGCAGCCAAGGAGCGAGTGGGAAGTGACGTCACTGTCGGAAGTTGCACTTGCGGTGGCACCTGCGCCTGGGGGACAGAGGAGGGGCGGGTCCTGGGCGGCTGGGCCAACCCTGCTGTAACATGCAAAGCTGCCCCGGGGTGTGGAGGACGGTGGCGAGGGGAAGGCTTGCTGGCGTGGGATTCGGGGCACTGTTGGGACTCGGGCTTAGGGACGAGGACTTTGACGAATTAAATCTCTAGGAACCAGCCTGGCCTGGGTGGTGCTGGAGAGATGGCATCTGGGGCATCAGAGGTGAGCTCACCGTGGCTCGCTTCCCACCCCGGCCCGAACTGGTGGTAAGGGATAACGACCTGGCCTTTCATAGGACAGTGCCTTGCCAGTATTAGACACTGGCACGGTGAATAAATTACGGAATGAAAGAGCCTGCTTCTGGCTCAAACGCGCGCGCGCGCGCGCGTGCGTGCGTGTGTGTGTGTGTGTGTGTGTGTGTGTGTGTGTGTGTGTGTGTGTGTGTATGTGTGTGTTGGATCCTGCGTCTGAACGGATGGGTTGCTTATGCTTACCAGTGTTTTGCGATTTGGTGCAGAAGAGATGGAGGACTTACTTTGTTTTAAAGTAGTGAAATTTACAAATGGGTCTTAATACTTCTCTCTTGGTGGAGAGGATAAGGTGATTATTTGACTTTTTTTCTGTTTTACTTTTCTGGGAAGAACTTCCAGGGGAGTAATACCAGGAAGACTATCAAATAATCAGCCGCCACGTGGTTCAGCGACGCTGCTTCGTGTTATGCTTTCTTTTCGGCAATGCAAGTTTTCTTTTTTCTTAATGGTTTCTTATGTTTAGGTACTAGCATTTGAGAGGCAAATGAGAGTGACAACGAATATGAAAATAGTAATTCATAAAAATTTAGTCAGGTTTTACGTGCTGTGAATATACACAAATTAGAACCAGCCCCACCCCAGAAAATCCTTGAATATTCAAGTGTTTCCTTTGTAAACATGCCATTAAATGTAATAAAAATGATCATGTAACCCCCCACCAACCAAAACAAAGCAAGAGTTGTAGCCAGATTAGTTTGGCTATCAAATGGGATAGAGTGCAGATGGCACATACAGCTCTGTAATAAGATCTGGGCATGCATCACCTTCCACACGCAGCCCCATGAGGTGGCTGTGTATGGGATATCTAGTGAAATGAGAGTCTTGAAATTTATCATTAGCTTGGATAGGGTGGGGGTGGGGAACCATGAATTTATGTTACATAGTGTTTTAATTAAAGAAGAAACTAGTAAGCATCTTTAGATTTAAAACCTAAGCTGTTCCTCATATTGGTTGGAAACTACAAATCTAAGCATCTAAATACATTATTGCAGTATTAAATTTCATAAGTTTATCCCCATTTAAATCTTTTTACAATTCCTAGAAAGTCTTGGTATCCCATTCACCCCCATTTTTATATGCTGTTCCTGTGATGTCATGTTAGAATACATTTAAATAGATAAAAAGTAATGTTTTGAGATCCTCTGGGTCAGTGTCACTGTGTTAATCTCGTTTTGACCACCTCGATCATGTTCAGTGCTCACATCCACTAAACTGCCCATCTGAATGTCCATGTAGTGTGGTCGTTATCCAGAATGAATTGGAGCCAAGTGCTAACTTAGAATGTGCATTGACATTTTCGAGGTTTTCAGTCTTGCAGAATACTGATACCTGTGGACTCTAAAATGGACCTCATGTACAGAGACCCCTGACACCTTAATGGACAAAAACATGAATCCGTTTGTGTTGTGGCATTCATATCCTTGGAGAGAGGTAAGTTGTTGATCGTGTTTTATGGTAGGTGAAATATTGGAATAGCCCTGGTAGAGCCGAAGAAATTTCAGGAATGTAATAGAAAATATAGGCCCGAATCTCTGCATTTTAATCAGGATTGTCCCAGGAAAGGCTTTCTTGGTATATACCAACATTGTCACTATTTTCTTGTCAAGTTAGTCAGAAATTTGAAAGCGTAACAAGCTATACTGTGGAAAGGTTACTTCTCTGCTTTCCTTTGTGGAAGTTCCCTTTCCCAACACTGTATAGCCTGGTAGAAATAGCCTGGGTTACTATGTCAGAATTAGGCCTCAGTCATTTAAATCATGTGGAGCCAACTTTGTATATGCATAGTGTATGTCTCAAATCTATTGATTAACTTTGTTTGGTGGCGTAGAAGCAAGAGAAACCCTAAAAGTACCCTTCTGTATCTTGCCTTATTTATGCAATGTCCTTTTCTTTTTCTTCCCCTCCCACTTAAAAGATATCTCTTAGCCTTTTATCTTTTCGTTGTTATTCTGTCTGGGGGTAGGTACAAATTTTGTTTCCCTCCCTCCTTCCCTTCCTTCCTTCCTTTTTTTTTTTTTCTTGCCTGTTTACATTTTCCTCATTCATTACTTTGCTGCTAACTTTGTGGTAATGTTTGGCATCGTTTACTCACTAAACATTTAATTTCCAGGTTTTTCCCTTGTCTCCTTTGTAGATGCGGGTCTCTTGTTTGAATTTAATTTTGTTAAAAGACAGTATTTCCAGTAATTTTTCTTGCACATATATTTGTGTTTGCACACACATATTTGCAATCTGTCACAATTTTATTTGAAATAAAAAATAATAGCAACTAGAAATAACCTAAACATGCTGCAATAGAGGTCTGGTTGAGTGAGCACCTTCATGAATGTAACACTGTGCAGCTAATAAGAAAGAATAAAGTTGATCCAGAGACACATATGTGGGAGAATCGTCCAAGGTACATTATTCACTGAGAAAGACACTAGGGCCCTGTGTGTACGGTATATTTTCATTTGTGGTTTAAAGAATCATATATCTACATATATGCAGATGTAAAAATTTTCTTCAAACATAAACAAAGAACATGAACAGACTTACCTGGGGCATGAGGCTAGAAGGATAAGTAGGAAGAAGATTCAGATGTTTCCTGTATGCTTTCTGGTGACTTCAGGTTTTTGCGGTGGGCATGTGTCTCCATAATGTGTATTAGGAAACAAACAGCATAGGGCAACTTTATAAATAAAAGTTACAAATAAAAGCCTGTTATTGCTCCTTATGATTTTCTTTCCTTATAATTGCACTGTTTAGGACTAGGGGCATATAGTGCTTCCCGCCCCCCCAGAACTGCAAAGAAGGTTTGGTGGTATTGTATAGATTTTAAACCTTCACATTAGTTTGATATCATGAACTCTGAGTGCTTAGTGCTGCTGAATTTATTATTCATGAATAATACATAGCATGTTTCTGACTTGACCAAGTGATGTGATTATTCTTACCTTGCTTGCAAGATAGGTTTCTGTTATTTTGGCATAGTTCTCAGCATCTCAGTTTTAGTAAATGGGATGAAGTGTTTTTTTTTTAATTGAGCTTTGTACATTTCATACAACAGTTCTTAATCAAATCCATGCTCTCCCTCCTCACCCCAAACTCCCACCAGACCTCATGCATTCCACCATACATGCTAAATCCTATCCAGTCAAGCATTCTTACCCAGATGTCCTTGGGTACAAATTCATCCACTTGAGTCTAGTCAACCTATCTAGAGATCGTAAGTAAGGTCTGTTCTCCCTTACGCAGTAGTAATCAGTGTCTAACTAGGGCAGGGCAGCTGCCCATTTCCCTCGATTCACTCTGGACCCTTGTTTGATTGAGTTGGCATTGCTACAAGTTCACCTGTGCAAGCTTCCAGTGGCCTGAAAGCCCCTGTTTCCCTATGTTCATGGAATAACCCTGGCTCTTACAATCTTTCCACCCCTTCTTCCTCAATGGTTCCTGAGCCAGGATGGGGTTGTTTTATTTAGGTATTCTGTACTCCTGTGGTACTGAGGACCAGACCCAGGGCCTTGCACCCTTATAGGCTAGCACTCTGTCACTGAGTTATATTCCCTGCCTTGGAACTCTGTATTCTTCTTCTTTTTTTCTTTGTCTTTTTGAGACAGTGTCTTTCTGTAGCCCCCAGCTGTGCTGGAACTCACTATGTAGACCAGGCTGGCCTTGAACTCACAGAGCTCTGCCTGCCTCTGCCTCCCAAGTGCTGGGACTACAGGTGTGCACCATCACCGTATTCTTTAAGCAAATCTTACAGTTACTGTTTTGCTTTGTTCTTGATGTGTAGAACTGCTTTAAGACATTCCAAAGAATAACTTGTTCTCTCTTAGTAAAATCAGTAAACCAAAAAGACAGTTTGAAGAACTATCTATAGAGAGCCTTATTCATCTGCCTCGCAGTCAGCAGGGATATCTGGTGACTTTTATTTCTCCAGGTTCTTTATCTTCCAAAACTTTTATTGTGGGACACTTAAAACAATAGCATTATATGCCTTACAGTAGATTTGAGTGAATTGTCTAAGAACATAAAAATATAATCTTCATCTTATTAATGAAACCTGGTTTGAGAATAGACGAAACAAGACACATACCTATACAACAGCACTGACTTTATATCTTGTTAGACATCTAATGGCAGTCACTAAATCTAGTGGCTAAGTCATGAATAATGGACTAGAACAGGTTTTTTTTAATGTCAGATATTTTAAATGCTTATTCGTGGTACTGGGGTTCAAACTCAGAGCCTTGTGGATGCTATGCATGTACTCATATTATTATTATTTTACTTTATTATTTTCGTTTGTTTTGAGACAGGGTCTCTCTGTAGCCCCAGCTGGCCTGGAACTCACTATGTAGATCAGGCTGGCCTCCATCTCACAGGAGTCTTCTGCCTTTGCCTCCAGAGTGCTGGGATTAAATGTGTCCACCACCATACCTGGTTTATGTATTCTCATATTGAGCCTCATATTGAGGCACCGTTTATTTTATTTTTGAAGCTGAGTTTCTCTTGTTGCATAGGTTGGTCTCCAACTTGTGGGGTCAAGTTATTTTCCCTCCTCTGCCTCCTGAATTCCTGGGAGCACAGACCTGCGTTTTATACCAAACCATACTTTAGTATTTTCCCTGCAGGTATCACTGTTTAATGATGCTATTTTTCTTAAGGTCTTTGGGATTAATCACTGTGGACACTGCCATGGTTTCTTTTCCTGTTGCTGTGAAAAATACTTGAACAAAAGCAACTTAAGGGGAAAAGGTCACAGCTCCAGGCTACAGTCTCTCATGGTGGGGAAGTCAAAGTATCAGGAGCTTGGAACAGCTGGACACATTATATCCACAGTCCGAAGAATGTGTGTAAGCATACATGGTATGCTTGCCTTCTTTCTCTGCTTTACACAATGCTAGATTCCCTGCTTAGGGAATGTGTCACCCACAATGGCTGGGTCTTCCCACCTCAGTTCTAACATAATCCAGATACTCTTCCACAGATATTGCAAGCCCCCTCCCCACCATCTCCTAAGTGGTTTTAACTTCTGTTGGTTGATATTTAACACTAGCAAGCACCATCACAAAGGGAAACTCACTGGGCAGTACTCTGGTTTTGCTGGGAAAAAAAGACTATAATCGAGTTGGAATCCAGTGGTGACTGTTAACCTGAGTCAAGATGCTAAAATATGCTAAAGATGACATAGAAACAAAGGAGATGAATATGAACGGAGAAGCTGCAGAAGAGAACGTGGACTTAAGGAAGATACATTGTTTTGTGTATTTAGTGTCACATGCGTACGCACATTTCTGCAAAACCGGAATTCCACTTAGGAAGTTACGTAATTAGTGCGATGAGAAAAACAGTTTAAAAGTCAGTGTTTACAGTTCTCACATCTGGGCCTGTTGTGGGCTAATTCATGATTTTGAGAATTGCTTAAAGAATTTTGGAAGTTTTAAGATCATTCACAAGACCAAGTGACAGGAAGGTGGACAAACTCTGAGAATGAGAAACTTTAAACTTTAAAATCTTATTGGGGCTGGGGAGTTGGCTGAGCGAGTAAACAGAGTTGAGGGTTCTTTGATATTGTTTTGTGGTATTAGAAAGGGAAAAGAGAAAACTTGAAATTTTATTGCTTTTCAGTTTGAATTAAACTAGGCTGATAAGCCTTTCCTAGCATCTCAGTTGTATATGATCAAAATTAAGTAGACCTTGTTAGCCTATAAAACATTAATATACAAAAACTGATTTTATTACTAGATATATACTAAAAAGTATAAGAGAACTGTTTTAAATTTTGTTTTCAATTTTTATTATATACAGGAATAACTGTGATGATGTAGAGTATTGGGGCATTTTTCCCTTAAAATAAAAGACCTTGGAAGAGCTGGGGCAACTCCCGAAGTACATTTGTTTTCTGTTATTTGAGTCCAAAGTTACTTCCAGATGGGAGACGGTATAGTCACTGGTGGAATAGACTGAGCTGAGAGGAAGAGATTAGGTGACTAGAAAACTGCTGCACAATCTGAACAACAGTAGTGTGGTAGGGGAGCGCTCCCAGTGCGCCGGAGAGTGCTAGTTGCCAGAGAGTACTAGTTGCCGGGGAGTACTGGTTGCCGGAGAGTACTAGTTGCCGGAGAGTACTAGTTGCTGGAGAGTACTAGTTGCTGGGGAGTACTAGTTGATTCTGAAGGCCCTTTTCAAGTCTTAAAATTTTTATTATGGCACAGTAAGTTGACCTACTACAGAGATCTCAGTCTCTCAATCTCTCTCTCTTTCTATGTGTGTTCATGCATGTGTACATGCATGCATGCCAATGTAGGTGTGTACAGAAGCCAGAGGTTGAGGTCAGGATGCCTTCCACAATTGCTTCTTCATCTTATTTTTCAGACAGGATATCTCTCTAACCTGGAGTTTGGACTAGGCTGTCTGGCTAGCAAGCCCCCAGGATCCTTCTGTCT